TGACTGACTGCCAAATTGAAGGTTGGAGGACCAACTTGAAACCAAGCAGAATTGAAACCATTGTAATTTGCCTCATTGTAAATGGCTGGGAAAGTGCTTTAGGGTGGCATACATGCAAATTGATGGAATATTGTGAATTCCAGAGCTGTAAAGGGAAGACTGAGTGAATGAAGGAGAGCTTCACACACCTTTAATTTTAGAATTAATTCTTTCTTTCAGACTAGCCAGCACCATACAGACACCATAACTCCCCAAATATTGCAGTGAGCAAAGGCACTGTGGCCTTGATGACCATGAGAGTGAGCCAAGAGCTTTGGGTCTCGGATCAGAATGAAATGGGTTTTTTGGGGAGAGGGAGAGATCCAGAAGAGGCATGACAAAGGCATATGCAATTATTCATGGTGTAGAAGGAATGTGCTGGCTGGATAGCTCAATGATTTAGGTATCTGGCTGTGGAGCCAGAGGTTAGGAGTTCATTTCCCCAGTTTGCTTCCGGCAAGTAGAGTCAAGCTATGTAGCTTTGGGCAAGCGATACAGACCCAGAGTGTTCCCAGAAGATGGGAATGGTAAACTACTTCTGTGACTCCTCTATCTGGAAAACCCTGAAAGGGGTCACCATAACTCAGTACTCACTTGACAGTACCTTGTTACAAAAATAGAGTAGGCAAAGAGAAGTGTTCTTTCCTACTTTGTATTATTTGAACTATGAGCTGAATTCAGACTTGTTCAGCAGGAGATTTGGGAGAAACCAAAGGATGGATGTATTTCAGACAATGCAGCCATAAGTTGTGGCCACAAGATCTGAATGATTGCCACAGGCCTAGATGGCTGTGAAGTGGCAGTCTGCAAATTATTTTTTAAAAAATTATTATTATTCAAAGTTATCAGACACAGTCAATCAAAATTATAAAAACATTGAATGGTATTATATAACATATATAATATTAATCAAAAACCTAAGTGTCTGTTAAATATCAGCACAGTATGTATGCTGTTCCTAATATTGCTGGGGGTTTTTTTTGTACCTCCGATGATGTTATTTCTGAGATCTGCAATTGCTTATAGTACTGTGTGACTTTTTTTATATTGTTCCCAAAGCCCCAATGACTACAGGGACAACTGAATGTACTTCATCCACAAGCGGTTTTTCCAATTCTTTAGCTTCAGCTCTGGCATCCCCTGAAACTGTGATGTCAGTGATCCAGACATTTCTTCATTCTATCACTACTATGTCTGGTGTGTTATATTCAAGGTGTCTATAACAACTATTAATATTACAAAAACAACTACTGTACTACTACAACAATGACAATAACAGATAGACTACTGCTGTTGTTATCAGCAGCATTATCATCATTAATCACATTTCTTTTATAAATATTATTAGTCTCATTTCTAGGCTGCCTTTCTCCTGATGAGGGGAGTTAAGCTGGCTCACAGTGTTTAAAAATATATATAAAATTACAAAAACAAAAAAAATTATACATTGAAAATGATTCAACTATGGTAGTAATTAAAGGTGGGCTAAAGGTGGATAGGCCTAACAAAGTTTATAAATGGAGATCCAAAGGTCTCCCGCAAACACCAAAGGCAAGAACAGGGACTTCAGGTGCTGCTTCCTGTAGAATGAGACTACTGGTCCATGCAGGCCAGCGCTGTCAATTCTGATTGGCCACGGCCCTGTGTGATTTCAGATAGGATTTTTCCTAGTCCCAGCTGGAGATCCCTCCTATTTCTTGGTGGGCTCCCATCTAAGTACTAATCAGGAGACGGTCATGGAGACCACTAGACTCAAAACTAACTACCAAACCACAATTGCAGAATGGTGCATCATAGGCATCCTTCAGTCTCGAGAGACTATGGTATCGTGCTCTGCATGGAGGACTTGGAACAGTGTCTAGTGCGGCTGAGCAGGTCAATTCGAGAGTGACAATCCCTTCCACACTTAGGACAAGTACAATCTAGCTCCCTGATTTTGCTGCTTTCGTGACTGCCTCTTTGCCTCAGCCTGCTGGACAAGGGTCTCTTCAAATTGGGAGAGGCCGTGATGCAGTGCCTGCCTCCAGGCTGAACGCTCAGATGTCAGGGTTTCCCATGGTGCAGACCCAGGTCAAAAGCCACCAGCAGAAGTTTCTTCTGAGGTTGCTTCACAGACAGGCAGTTGCCATACAGCCCATTCACACACCATCAGGTATACACCCTAATCAAGGCCTGTATTTATTGGGGAGACTGAGCAAGCAAGCCTGTTCTGAATATCTCCTGTGAAAAAGTGAGCTCTCCTCAGGCTCTGTGCTTCCCACATTGGAATAAGCTCCAGTGGAACACAGCAGGTCTTACTCTTGAGTAAACATGCATAAAACGATCGCGATCCCAGCACATTCCCCGCCGAATCACGATAAATAACGCGGCTGCCTTTTCACTCCTCGCTGATCGCAGTGCAAATGCAAGGAGGATCAGGCCCACAAGCTTGCAAGCCTTTGCCCTCCAAGGAACGTCAACCGCCTGGTCTAGAAAGGGCGCTTCTTTGAATAGCTGGCATTCGAGCCATGAGCTGTTCGAGCGGGGCTCCATCGAGCGTAAACTCCAGTTAGGACAGCAGAGAGCGAGCCTGGAGGAATCCGGAGTCCCTGATTCTAATCCCATTTCCACGGTTCAGGGCTGGTTGACTGCTAGGTTAGCCGAGCCAAGGAGCCTCCAGTATCGGATTAATATAATACTGGTTTCCCTCGGAGGTTTGTTATGACAGATAAGGTAACGAGCGGTTGAAAAGCGACTTGGGAAGCTAAGCTGTCCACCCACGATATATATTTGTGCAAAATAATGTTATCGTTGCCGTGCCAAGCCGTACTGCAGAGGTCTTCATAAGTACACCAGATCTTTGGAAAAGTTACTTTTTTTGGACTACAGCGCCCGAACTGGCTGGGGAATTGTGGGAGCTGTAGTCCAAAAAGGAACCTTTTACAAATTTTGACACCCTCTCAGAGCTACCTAAAGTCTCTCTCGGGTCTCCCTTTCGCCCCTGTTTTAAAGAGCCCGGCTTTGCTGATCGCGATTTTACTCCGGGTATTCTTGAGAGCAAGAAAGGAAAGAGAAAGGAGGAGGGAGGGGGAAAAAATAATAATCCCGCAGCTATGCCAAAAAGGGGGTGGAGGGAATAAAAGGCAGGGATCTGTAAGCGTGCGGCTCAACAGGTAAGAACTCGGCTGGAGCAAAGGAATGTGGAAATACAACTCAGGGCAGGCGGGCAGGCAGGCAGGCAGAGAGGCGAGCTGCTGGAGCGCCAAGCCGGAGCAAGCAAGAAAGGAAGGGCGCGGGGAAGGGAGGCAGGAGCCGGCCGCGGGAATCCCCGCTGCCCTGGGACCGAGGAAAAGTGTAGCGTGCGGCTCAACAGGTAAGAACTCGGCTGGAGCAAAGGAATGTGGAAATACAACTCAGGGCAGGCGGGCAGGCAGGCAGGCAGAGAGGCGAGCTGCTGGAGCGCCAAGCCGGAGCAAGCAAGAAAGGAAGGGCGCGGGGAAGGGAGGCAGGAGCCGGCCGCGGGAATCCCCGCTGCCCTGGGACCGAGGAAAAGTGTAGTGTTTC